AAGGGAGAGGTTTCGATTTCACCCATCATATTGCACGAAGTATTTGCACCCACCGTTTTCGAGGCCTTGTCGTTACGCTGCTACATGTGAATTTTGTTTTGTATACACCAATCTTTTGCGCATGCTCGTACGTGATTAGTGATTCCTTGAGGTTTGAAGAATCTGGTACATTTTGGACATGTATACGTGTTGTTCTGGTTCCGTTTAAGTGCTTCTGTAACCTTGATTTGTTGTATGCCGATTCTTCTTTTTACAGCCACATTCTTGTATTCTTGCACGATGTTTTTGATGTTACTGTGTATTGGTTTAGTTTGCACCGGTTTGTTGATCATTTCTCTCCATTTCTCCCTAACTAGAGTGTCCTTTCTCCAGTTGTGAATTTGGCATTTGTTAAGATCATCAGCGATCTTGTCCTCCCATCTCCTTTTTATGCCACCATTTCTTGGTCGCTTTACATTGGGATAGTAGGAAAACATAATTTTTCTCACTAAGGATGGTTCATTATCTTCTTTATTTAACCTGTTGGCATGTCCAAACCATCTCAATTGATTTCGTCTCATTATGTTTTCAATATGTGGTTGTCCGGTGATTTCCAACAATGTGTTGTTTGCTATTCGATCACCCAAGTTCACACCAATGATTGTCCGTAAACATTTCATATAGAAAGTGTTTATCCTTCTTTCTTGTGTCACAGTCATCGACCAAATTTCGCTACCATACAGCAAGACAGGCAATACACATGCACGAAAAATCCGGAATTTGGCTTCAAATGATATGGATTTTCGATACCAGATGGTGTTACGAAGCATATTGAAAGCACTGGATGCCTTTCCCAACCTTGTTTCTATTTCTTTTTCCATTGACTGATCTCTCGAGACTATGCATCCCAGATAAAGAAAATGCTCAACCAGTTCAATGTTTTCATTTCGAAATGTTATATCGAACTTGGGTACATCAATTTCCTGCCCTTTGATGACTCTTCTTTGAGCATCTTCTTTAAATTGTTTGAGGGACATCATGCAAGTTTCTTTGACGTTCATTGTTAATCCACATTGTTGAGTGGCTTTCTCAAACGTTCTAATGAAGCGTTCGATATCAGTTGCATTATCGCTTATTGCTACCAGATCATCGGCATACATCAAAGCCACAACATCAAGATCTTCAAATTGGTCTTTATCTGTGTGGAAAAAATCTCTACTGCCGAAAGCCAACTTTACGCCATTTACTCCAGCTTCTTCAATTACCCTTCTTATTACGTAGTCGAAAAATATATTGAACAACATCGGTGATATAATCCCTCCTTGCAACACCCCGGTTCCCATTTCGAAAGGTTCTGATAGTTCGCCATTTATACGCACCCGAGCTTTTGTTTTACTGTGAAGCAGTTTTAGCAGCCGAATCAATTTATCAGATATACTGTAACACCTGCATACTTTCCATAACAACTTTCTGTCAACAGAATCATACGCCTTTTGTATATCAATGAAGCACATGAACAGTGATTTGTTATATTCTTGAGATTTTTCCATTATTAATTTGAGTGTAAAGATCGGATCAATTGTAGATTTGTTACGACGAAAACCAGCTTGTTGTTCCAGCAATTGTTTGTTGATTACGTTTTGTATCCGATTTAGTATTATGCGTGAGAAGATTTTGCCAGTTACTACCAACAGAGATATACCTCTATAGCTACCACACACTGTACGATCTCCCTTATTTTTGTACAACCGAATTAGAATGGCGGTTGTCCAATCTTCTACAACTTCTTCATCGTTCCAAACATCACATAATATTTCATGTAACCATTTGGCCATGGGTATGCCACCAGCCTTGAGCAGGTCTACTGATATATTGTCGACGCCGGGGGCTTTCCTGTTCTTCATTTGCTTGATAGCATCATGAACTTCAGACAAAGATGGTGGCTTGTCTTGTCGCATTTGTTCTGTTGTTGAAATAATAGGTACCAAGATTTGTTGAAAAATGTGTGGATCAATAACGGAGTGAACATTTAATAAGTCACAGAAGTATTCTCGCCACCGCAACATTACATCGTTTGAGTTTGAAAGAAGATCACCTTGTTTGTTTTGTATTGGCATATTGTCTGCATTGAGTCTTCCACCTTTCAGTTGTCTTATCACTCTGTAAGCTGTGCTTGGATCATGTTGCTTAATCGCCTTTTCTATTTCTTCACTCACTTCATCCCAATACTCGAGTCTTCGAGCATGTATTTTTCTGTTTACTAATTTTCTTAGTAGACAGTATTTAATTCGATATTTTCGTTCCATCCTTGTTTGTCGATGGTTTTGCCATTCGACAAAGGCAGCTGCTTTTTCATTTACAAGATTCAGAATTTCATCTGTCAACCATTCTTTTGCTCTTCTTGGTGTATTTTGTTCTTGCTTAAATATTCTACCACCTACATTATTCACGTAATCAGTAAATTCATCATATTTTTCATTTACTGTCTTCTTTTGTGCACCAATACCTTCCAATTTGTTCAAGAGTTGTTCTTGAAATTTCTTCTGTAAATCATCATCTTTTATTTTATTCATGTCCAATCGTAAACACTGTGGTTTTTCAGCTTTCTTCCTACATCTTAGGTGAAGCCGTAACTTTGTTCTTACAAGATGATGATCGGTACCAATAGCACCAGCTGCATTTCTATACACTCTGACATCTTCTACACTTGCATGAAATTTCTTATTAACAAGTGTATAATCCAACATGTGCCATTTTTTGTTTCCTGGATGCTTCCATGTCATTTGATGTACTGTTTTATGCTGGTAAAAGGTGTTGGCCACCATTATATCATTATGAGAACAGAAATCTATTAGGTGTTGTCCATTTTCATTTATTTTGTCCACAGCATGAGGTCCGATGACAGTTTTAGTTGTTTGGTTTTGCTGCTTGCCAACCCTTGCATTAAAATCGCCCATCAACAGAAGCATATCACCTCTTGACACTTTGTCCACTGTTGGTTGTAATTTTAAGTAAAATGCATCAACTTCTTCGATTGCCTGTTTGTTTCCATTTGGGTTTATTGGAGAATATACTGCAATTATTGTGACGTGGATGGGTTTGCATTTTAAACGAATCATTATTATTCTTTCATTTATCGCCTCCCATACCGATCCTGAGTCCTTCCAAACATTAGTGGCTTGTTTGTCTAGATAAATTGCAACCCCATGAGCAGATTTTGTTTTGTTGCAGCTTGATGCACCAGAATACACCATAGAATAATCGTCTGTATTAATAACACCTGAGTCATATATAGCAGTTTCACTTAGAGCTGCAATTTGAATTCGATGTTTCTGTAATTGCTTGATAATTATGTCTCTCTTGACTTGCCGAAAGCACGTACGTACGTTCCACCCACCAAAGAAAGTAGTTTTGAGTGCGTTTATACTCTTTCTCTGATCCTTTTCGTTAGCCAGTAAAGTTTAAAGTCCTATTCGCAGGGGGCTAGCCCAGAAACAAGACGAGGTGGCTACCAGCAGCCCAGGGGCGCCTCTCATGGCTGTTATACAGTCATGAGACCCTGTGGATGTTAATACATCCCTGGCAGGCGTTTATTAATAGTATATACCGATTTACAACGAAAAATACTATTAAAATAAACAGATAAAATTTAATCATTTTCTGTATTTTTTTATCGATGTGTTCTTGAAATGAGTAGTCATCAATAACATTTAAAAATTTTTTGAAAACAAAATGACTAAGAATATTTTATCATATGATCATACATGATGATGTAGTATTTGAATATTGACTCAATAGAATACATCTCGAATAATAAAACAAGATCAAAATCAGAGAGAAATTAGAAGAAGAAAAATTCGCATATAGCTGAGTGGCTAAAGAGCGTAGGATAACGCGATACTGGTTCGAATCCTCACATCCATACCCACACCGGTTGTACTTTGACAACAGTAGAAACTATTAACAATACGACACAAATGAAATAAATTGTAAGAAAGCAATGTGCTGTAATTTCAGCCTCGATGAGTTCATACAAAAAGAATAGTAAACAAGTGCGAATAAGATGTTTCTCAGTCTACTGATCAACATAAATAGTGTCATTAGCAGGTTTCTATCATACTAAATGTCTTAAAAAAAGAGAAACTGATGAAAAGTTTCTGTTAGATATTTAGTCTAGAACTTGCTTTAGTGGTATTCAGATTTGGGGAAAATGATTTCATTTGCTAGTTGAAAATATAATGCACTGTTACCTTTCACAAAATCGGCACAGTAAAGAACCAGTAAAGTGATACTGATTGCAGAAAATTTCAACATTTTGAGGTGAAAATTGTGTTTCTTCCTTTTTTCTATCAGACTCCTACCTATTTCAACTGCATGTATATGTTCTCCTCTTTCAATGTTGATCATGATGACGTCAAAATGTTCCGCAAACATGCACTTTTGATAACTCTTAGGCTACAAAAGTAACTTCAAATGTACAGAACAGCACAAGAACACGCTGCAACTGCTGCTGTGAAAAAATTGCTCGTTCTTTAATCGCAGTATTACCTTACTCAAAAGTAACACTTTGCTACTCTTATGAATCTTGAGTCTCTAAGTACACAAGAATGTATTTTAAACAGTCGACCGACGACTTATAACAAAAGTATTGAGATGAAAATCGACTTCCTCTGTATGATTCATCGAAACCCTGAAAGAGTACTACTAACCGTTTCAAAATGGGCTAAACATCATTATAATGTTTTAATAACGTCATTCACTTCATCGTCATGTTTCTGCTTGTATTGACATGTCAAAAACGGAAGAGATGTCATGCAAGTTGGGGCGTGGGTGTGAATGAAGAGAAATATCAACACCCGCACTCACATCCACACCCAGACCCTAATTTTCATTTAATTGAATCAACGTAAAAGAAGTTATTTGTGGATAAAAATAAACATTTTGGTTTGAAAAAAAACTGAATATTGTTTTTTCTGAATATTAGAAAAGAATTTATTGAAATAAAAATTTCCTCTTTTCTCATTAATGATTATTTATTTTTATTAACAAATTATAGGAAGCTTAGTAAACATATTCAAACATTTTCTACGTTAATTATTCTCGTTTCAATGTCAGTTAAGTTCTCTTAGACTTAATATTGGTAATTATGAGATCGGTTATAATATTAACGAGTGTATAAAATATTTTCTCAATTTTTTTCAAAATTATTCAATTTCCAATGAATTTCAATCTTATTATACAACTATTTCTCGTTCACATATGCACATAAAATAAACATATTTTCTTGAACATCTTATCCAACATACATACACTTGCTCTCCAATAATTATCAATCAAATTTAATAAAGAATTATATATTCGATCGCGTTCTGTATCATTTATTGAAAAATTGAATTAAACAAATGAAGATTGGTTTAATAAAGTAAGATATATATTTTGTTGCTTTATTTATTTTTTTGATAAAAAGTATTTGAAAGAAAGATAAACTGTCATATAGAATTGATTTTCTAATAACTTTTTTTATTTTATTGATTATTTTGATTGTAAAAAGTTTTATCAATTTGACAATATTTGATTAAAACTTTCTTTCTTTTAAAATTAGATGATATTATAAATCTTGAATTATTTATTTAAATTGTTTATGTATAAAAGCTAATAGTTTATTTTAATTTGTCAGTTAGAAATTACTTTTTTTGAAGAACAAAGTCTTTTAATGACATATTCTTTTTCTTCATAAAAGATAAATTAACCATCACAGCACCACCTGTAGAATAATAGTCTTGTTCTCACCTGGGATCCGCATGAATCCAAATTCATAAAACAGCAATGATATATGAAATTATTATTAAGTAGTAATGAAAGTCTTGATTATACAAAGAACAAATGAAAAAACAATCGATTTTAACAGCAGTTTATTTTATCTTTTTCTCATTTTCTTTTTATTTCCTTTTTTTTTTTGAAAATATTTCCCATGGTACATTGTAAATGCAGCGTTCATGTATACTTTAGCTGTCTTATCACCTCAAGGGAGACTAACGGTGATTAACTGCTGTTATAGTGTATTCTACTGTGCTTCGATAAGGTATATGTAATGGGACAAGATTCGATTTATTGTTATAGATGTGTAGTATCAAATTGGAAAGCATTGATGTTTGATGGATCTCGCATGGTAAAAAAGTGTTTACTTGTACTTGACGCTACTTAATCATGTTAATAATGAAAAATTTTATACTGTTAATAAAGAACATTAGACATTCAGATCAAGTTAAAGTTTTCACTGCCAAACTAACAAATTTAAAATATGAACTGCCATTGAGATGCACCAAACGAGATAATGGACATCTACAGTTATATAAGACAATCGAAAAGTCAAAATTTTTGCACTTTATTTTTCGTTTTTCATCATAGTTGGATAGAGCTCGTCGAGTTGCATACGAAAAAATGTGTTTCAAGCTTAAAAAAAATTTTTAAACATTTCGTAAGAGTAAAAATTTTTACATCAATTTTTCTCCATTTTCTTGCTTGGCGTATCCAATTTGATGTAACTACGATTTTGAGACTTCTAATCATTTTATAATTCGTTGAAAGTTTAAATCGATATTGTCAATTTTAATCAAACTTAAAATAAAATTTTGATTTGTTATAAAAAGTAATGATGTTATTCTTAACACAATAAAACAGTAAAAGGTTTAGTTAGAGATTATTTTTTATTTATTTTTCTAAATAAATTACTGAACTAAGTAATATCCATAAACTACGCTAATTTTCAACAAATTATCTGAAAAAGTATTCTGATATAGATATGTAACAAAAGTTAGTTGAATATTATATGAAAATTTACTATATAAGGTTTTTTCTCTAACTAACAATAAGTTATTGAATATTTTTAGTGTATTTTCTTTTTTAATGGCTATTCTTTATTTTGAAAGACTTTCTTGATCGAAAGAAATTATTATTTTTAATAATCTTTCTTACATTTCTTAGAATTTCAAAAGATCATGCTCATCTGAAATGTTACAGACTGTTTATTTAATAGAATTCTCTTAAAATATTTGCTAGATTTTATCTTTTTTTCTTCATATTTCTAAATTGTGTAAACAAAGAAAAATTAATCAATTTAATAGCGATAATTCTTTCATTTCTTTTTATCATATTCATTTATAGTATAATCAACCAATTGTAAAAGTCGAACGATTTTATTATCCTATATTTTTATTGTTATAGAATTAAATTCTATTAATTTTTCTAATAAAAGATGCCAAAGCTATGATACATTACTTTTAAAAACTTTCATTCAACATGATTTGAAATTTGTCTATTTAAAATGGCTTTTCAATAATATAAATCAGGTTCAAAAATTTAAACTTCATCTTTATTTACCTCATATTATAACTAATATAATAGATTTTTGGTTTTGATATTTCTTCTCATTATGAATTATTGTCAAGTGATGCTGAAAAAATAATTAATTCACTTCAATTTCATCCTCTGTATATTAATCGTTAATGGATAAATGTAAAATATTTTTATGATCCAATAAAATCATATAAACATTTGTTTTCTATAAATGTCAATACTACACTTCAATGTGACGACTCAGACTCTCCGTTATCATTGACAAATCCGTTCAAAAAGGGACTAAACAAGGTGGCCGATATTCAATTTTGAAATATTACAAAACTTAAATTTGCATATTACTTTATTTGTAGAACTTGTAAGTATCAATTTGTTTATATTTCAAGCTTTTATAAAAGTATAATCAAACGTTAATTTTCGCTATCCTCATACTTGTATTCGTATTCGAGAAAGTCCATAGTTGTCGAAC